TCATCTGTTGTGTCAGTGCTAAAATGGGAACTATCTGAAACAGTTGGAAAGGGCTTACAATGACATCCAGTTCCTCATGGGCATTGTTTGGTTTACAAAGTATGGTGTTTGAATTTACTAAACCTGAAAGCCATTTTGGAAATGAACATTTGTGATTTGATTGATGTATGATCTGAGTAAATATGTACTGACTGCATTTTATAGAGTTGGGGGAGAAAAGACCTTTATTTATGAGTAATTCTTCAGCAAATGAAGCTAAACTAATGAGAATGGAAAGGAAATGGCCCAAACCAACTGATGCGACAGATGTGGTAGCTGTCATCCAGAAAGTAAAATACAACACCAACAAGGAGGAGCTATGAAGGTGAGGCAGCTGATGGATGAACTTGGTAACTGGTGGCCTGTGTAATTTAGCAGTGACAGCTCCGAAGCTGCAGCATGATTTATTTGATCACATAAAACATCTTCAGGGTAAATATCGGAGTATCCCTGCATTCTGAGGGTTATAAGAGGGATCGGATTATAACTTCTAAAACATATCATTTAAAAGGACAACATGCAGGAAAAAATATGCATTATGTTAAACTGTTGCCATCATGGAAAAGCTCTCAAGACTTGAGATCCTGTTCCAATGTTTAAAAAGAATGTAACTGCCAGCATCCCTGATGTTTAAATTTAGCTCTAAATAATACAAATAAATACAAATAAACCACTAAGATTTTAATATTAAGGAAAATACCACATCTCTGTTTATCTGGAAAATAATGATTATGGGCACGTTGGAGTAAAAAAATTACCTGCTTGTCGTTTCCAGGGAAACAGTTTTCTGAAGCACCACCTTATTTTTTTCCTAAAGTCATCATATGAGTATAGACTACCCTGAGAGAGTTAAGTTACCTCTTCTAAACGAAACCTCAAGAGCCACAGATGGGGGTGTAGAATGATGGACTGGCGGAGGAGAACGTTATAGACTTCAGATCATTTACCCAAATTATAAGTTAATATTGATTTTTAATTCAGCTCTAATAAGGTTTAGACAAATAAAGGCATATACAACAACTAGAAGAAACCTTGAGTGGTTCAAGAGCTCCTGCTTGTTAGCATTTGTTCCAGGTCCATTACAGAACAAAATGTGAATGCAAATATGGAAGACCGACCACCTGCTGCACCATCTGACCAGAACTGAGCCATCCCCCACACCTTGTTGGTTTAGGGATTTTTTTTTTCTTTTGGTACACACAGGTTTAGAGTGTATTCTAGAGGAAACATTGCATGTCCAGATCTGTTTCCATCCTGGTTTGACTGTACATTGTCAATTGTCATCAGAAAAGGAGTTATTTTTACATAATGTGTGCCTCACTGACATGTGCACAGTGAGGCCATTCAAAGCCCACCCTCCATCTGCCCTTACAGAATCAAGAGAGCCAAAGGACAATGCTACTTTAGTGGATCTCAGCTACAGTAATGCTAATGCTAACGTAATTCTGATCTGATATGTGGATGTGGGAGAAAAGACACAGACGTATGTAGACTAAAACAATTTGGATAAATTAAAGCCAGAAGTGACACAAGAATTTTTGGGGTGTAACTGTAACTTCCCCCCCCCCCCCCCCCCCCCCCAACTATACCCATGTAATTACTAGCAACACAAAGGCTCGTATTTTCTCTCTCTGTCCACATTTGTTGGCCAGTTTAACTCACTGTAGAAACATAGATTGCTGGCATATTTGAAAGGCACTTCCATAATGCTTAGTTTGTCAGTTTGCTGCATATTGCTTGCTATATATCGTTGGCTGAGATTAACATACTTCAAGTAGGTTGAAAACATGTGACGTGTCAGGCAGCCCCTGAGAAGACCTCCTTCTGCTTGTGCATGTGTACATTTAGAGGGGAGGGGCTACCATCCGGGTGTTTTTCATTCAACGTGCACAGAGAAAAGCACTGACTCATTGCTTTGCACAAAGCTCCACAGTAGAAAAATAGCGTTAATATTTTGGATTGTAAAATCACAGATTGGTCAAAAAATGTTTTGCGACGACAAATGGGTGTGTATTTTGGTGCGACAGACAAAACTGCTGCATCAATAAATCCACTGAAACAATCTAATGCTTACAATCCTCATAAATTAAATGACATTAATTTGGAGATTGTTTTGATTTAGAACCACTTAGATCTAATTATTCAATTTTGCTAAGGAATTTTTTTTTATCCTTTTAAACAGAATATAAATGGGTTGCTCCTTTTTACTTGGCCCAAAAAATAAGTCGCCACCTGGGTTTAACTAAGCAAATACGTACGAGCCTCCTATTGGATCATTACTGCATGGCAACAAGGTGTTCAACCCCAACTGGTGCAATGAGTTGCTTCTCATTTCATAAACAACCATGTGGAAAGACACATCTGGTGGTCGTGGAAAAGATGTTAGTCTGTTGAGAAGGGTCAGATCATTAGCATGCATCAAGCAGAGAAAACGCCTGAGATTGCAGAAACAACTACAATTAGGTTAAGAACTGTCTAACGCATTATTAAAAATTGGTCTGATGACTCCAGATGGACCCTGTTCCAGAGTGATGGTGCATCAGGGTAAGAAGAGAGGCAGATGAAGTTATGCACCATCAAGCCTAGTGCCTACTGTACAAGCCTGTGGGGGCAGTATTATGATCTGGGGTCGCTGCAGTTGGTCAGGTCTAGGTTCAGCAACAGGATGTGCTCCAAGAATGCGATCACCTGACTACCCAAATATACTGAATGACCAGGTTATTCCATCTTCCCTGATGGCACAGGCATTTTCCAAGATGACAATGCCAGGATTCATCAGGCTCAAATCGAGAGAGTGATTCAGGGAGCATGAGACATCATTTTCACACACGGATTGACCACCACAGAGTCCAAACCTTAACCCCATTGAGAATCTTTGGGATGTGCTGGAGAAGACTTTGTGCAGCAGCCAGACTCTACCATCATCAATGCAAGATCTTGGTGACACATTAATGCAACACTGGATGGAAATAAATCAGATGACATTGCAGAAGCTTATAGAAACAATGCCACAGCAAAAGTCTGCTGTGATCAAAGCTAATGGCGCCCCAACAAAATATTAGAGTGTGCAACCTTTTCATTTTTGTGGCAACTTTTGTTTTGGCTGGACAGTGGAATAACAGAATCATAAAAATACTAGTGATGCACGGACATGAAAGTTTTGGGCCGATATCCGATATTAAGATCACTGTTATGGCCGATAACCGATATTTGCCGATACCGATATACTGACATTAATGCTTCTAAAATCAGCAGATTTTGTTTAGAATGAAAATCATTATAGCTGAATTTACCTTATTATGTACACACAACACACACATTTATGGTTCTGAGATGATGACAATCACTGTTCACATGACTAAACAATTACACATCACCCCCATCACCCTCTGAAACAGTTGAACAAATGGAGACAAGATGGAAAAAATATTGGTTGTTAATATCGGCCTGTTTCATTTATCGGACCGATACCGATATGTTAAAAAATTACTAACATCAGCCGATACCGATATTGGTGCCGATATATTGTCCATCCCTAAAAGATACCAAATGGGTTTGCAAGATAAATCATCTACAACGCTCCAGACTTGTCTATAAAACGTCTACTGGGAGAAATAAAATGTACACATCATTATCTCTGATGTGTGTCTGTGCAAAGTGTACGGCAAGTCCAAGCACATCCCAGATCAAAGTGTATTAGTACATCTAAAAATGTCTCCAGTATCTAGAATCTCAGAACTATTACAATACTACAATATTACATTGGACGAATTTTGCAGTACTTATACTCCTGAATAACAACTTAATCTCAATGTAATACATGTGTAATAGTTTTAAAAAAGATATAATGTTTATATTATAATATATGAACCGCCATAAACATTTAAGAGGTTGAAAGTATTTTAACATGACAACAATTGAGCTACAGTGGGACTCATCAGATCTGTTGGACATAAACTTTTTCTCTAAAGTGAGGTCATTCCTTCTGGAAGCCATCTACTACAGGTAAGCTATGATTCTGTTTAACTTTTACACAGAAACACTGAAGAAAGGAGCTGCTTTGATAAAATATAACATCTGTATTATTCTTAAACAACAGAAACAACCAAGTAAAGCAATGAATAAGACAATTTCCCTCCATTCTATCAACGATGATGTTGGAAACCATTGACAACCAAGTTATTATCACTGACCATGTGTTGACCCGAAGGTAGAAGCTGCTGGAAGATGTCATTTCACCCCCACTTCCTTCTAATGACCTATATGATCAATGAATTTCTATCTCTGCGCTTCCGCTAAGTCGTTCCATCAAGTCCAGCACCTGCATGTGATGATGCCATTATGTGCACCACCTCATTTGAGTATGGATCTGGTTCTCTAAAGCACACCAAACACCAAACTAGTCCACTGATAATACTACAAACATAAATAAATAGATTGATAACCTTTATGCAGAAGAGTGACGATCATTGTTTCGATTTCTGTCAGTCTAGTTTTTCTTTTACCAGCGATTATTCTTGATACCGTTTTTTTTTCTTTTCCTCATCTTGTTTTCCATCCTTCTACCCCCCCCCCCACCCCACACACACACACACACACACACAGCTAGCTCACAAACATGGCACACACCATTGCCGTCACAGAGCTGCGTTAGTCACCACAAGGGACGTACAGCTGTGAAAGCAGAGTCCAATGACAGCTTTAACACAGTAACAAATGAATTGTGTAAATCTGCCCTCCCCCATTTCTAAAAATTGCAGAAATGCCAAATGATTCAATTATATTAATAGTTAACATAAAGACTCCTTCACATATAATAAATGAGACTGCAAGCTGCCACTGCTGATACGTTAGCATCTAAACACATCTTTAGGTAACCAAGCTTAGAAAACAAAGCTGCAGCTACTGAAATGAAACCAGAATTCGTGACATTTTGGTGGCGCCATCACAAGCAAACTGACCTGGAAAGGGAAGATGCTATCACGGCCCACACCGTCATCCATCCAGGACTTGGGGTTGAAGCTGGCAGGACTGTTTCGGGGATACTTCTGTGATGCCATGTGGTTGTTAGGAAAGGTCTTCTTTAGAGGAGAAATAGAATTGATAGGAGTCATGCCTCCATTAAGCCCACGGCGATAATCTCTGCCTTGAGATCCGCCCCAACCACCACTGCCGCTACCGTAGCCTCCTCCAGGACTCCATGAGGTGGACGAGCCCGGGGAGGGAGAGGGGCTCTGGTAGCTGGCTGGACCCCAGGGGGATGGGGGCTTGTTTAAGTTGTTGGACAAATGTGGCAACTGACTGAAAGCCGGGTTTCTGTGTGGGAAGGGTGGCGGAGGGTGGGGTGATGCTGGGGAACGCCGATGCTGCTGGTGTTGACTGTGAGGGTGTTGGAAGTGGGGATGTGGTGGTGGAGCGGGGTGGTGCTGGGACAAAGCGGCAGCAGGTCCGATCTGAGGGGAGAAATTCCCACCAAATCCCGGACTTACATGGTGCGAGAAGTTCTGGAATAGCAGGGGCCCGTTGTTGGCAGAAGCCGGGTTGAAAAAGCTGACGTCCTCATTGATGATTGTTGATGGTGCAGACGGGATGGCAGCTGACCAGTTGTTAAAGCCAGTAAGTGATGATGAGGTGGTGCTGGACTGTACAGGGCCAGTTCCTCCAAGGCCAGACGTCTCAGGGTAATCAAAGCTTGCCAGAACAGGTGACTCAAGACGAAGCTGCTTCTCTTTTCCGTTGCTGCTCTCAGAAGTGCCGTTCTCAGCCTTGGCTTCCTCTGCCCGGGCTTTTTCCAGTTCTGAAATTATCCCACCGCCACTTCCACCCTCCTGGTGACTCCCAGGAGACAACTGCTGCTGCTTCTCTTGTGTTTCTTGCATTTCCTGTTGCTGCTGTGCTTTAGGCTTCTCCGCCCCCCCCAGGATTTCATCTTGCACACTGTTGTGGGTGGCAGAGGCAGGGAAAAGCCAGGGAGAGCCTCCTGTGGAGCCATTCCCCGTGGCTGTGGTGCTGTTTATGAAAGCAGCAGGGCTCTGGGACACATTTTGGTGGTGGTGTGGGGGCTGCAGATGCGGGTGGATTCGGACCGGGAAAGCAGACTTGTTGCCAGTGTTGTTTTGAACTAGAACTCCGAACCCGTAATCCCCCATTTGTTTTCTCCCCCCAGAACAAACGCTATCCAGTGATCTCTTCTGTCCTATTGAGAGAAGAGCAAACATGACGGTATAGAGGTTAGCACTTTGCCATTTTCCCATTGATCAAAGGATTTGGAATGTACCAGAAGGGGACCATCAGTACATAAAAGCATCTGACAATACTCGGATAGACCATGTCCACGTACTGCTGGATTACCCTTTAGTTGTTTGATTTAGTTGATTAAAAAAGTCTTGAACTGACCAGTAGGGTTGAACTATAGGAGATGTTGGGACATCATGGTGGAAAAGTATAATGCAACTAAATACTTTTTATTGGTTCTTCTCAAGAAAATACATTTTTTAGGTAATGAAGCTGATGTAAAAATAATCAAAATATGACAACAAACTGTGAATGGGTCAAAAAGTCCAGTGTCAAAGACATCTGGCAAGTGAACCCATAATTGTGGCTAACTGATTAGCTGTCTTGCTAAATGTACAAACTGTTGCTCACAATGAGACTGTTGTTAAATCCTAAACAGGAAGAGGAAAAAAGACATTTGAGGTAAATAATCTTCCTTTTCAAAGCGTTAATTTCCTCATCATGGCTACTTTCCTGGACATTCATTATTACCAAATTCTATTAATAAAATGGATCTTGGTTGCTCGGAACAATCCGCATGTAACATCCTTTACAAGTGGAAGGAAAAACAAGAGTGAACGTTACATCTTTAGCTAATTATAACCCCGTGACGTTGCCAGTTTGTAAGTCCACAGCTGAGCTTCTGGCAGCCTGCTGTAAAACTAGGAGCACTGCTGTGTCGACCAGAGTCTCCATTTGGAGACGTTTTAAAAAAGGCAAATTAGCTGACAGGCGTAGAGAGCAAAGCGCTGACGACACGCTAGATAGCAGTGAAAATGTTAGCAAAAAGCCGATGTAACGTTCGGAAATAAACCCCTCGACCTTGTTTGACAGCTGTCAGGGTCTTATTTAAATCTAGCAAGTTTACTTAGATAGAAACGAGCTTAGTAAAACATGTCAAGTCGTTTTTCTATTGTATTATCTTCTTAATATGTGAAAAAACGACAACCGTCGACAGATATGTTAAAATTAACAAAGCTGACCTGCTAAGTTTTCCAGCCGTTGCTAACATTAGCCAGCTAGCTCCTAGAGGTTAGCACGAATGCTAGGTGCCTGGACAGGCTGGATAAAGGCGAGTAAAAATGATTTTCACCTTCTGATCACCACCTTCGACCTCGGCGTTGTCTGTCGAGATCCTTCCCTTGGACTGACAGCACACGGTGTCCTTGAAGCAATGGCAGGGAGAGCTTTTTCAGAGGCGATTTTAAAGCTGACTCGTAGTGCAATCGGTCAGTTTTTTCTCTTTTTTTCTCCCTTCTCCTGACGTGTCCTGCCTCTCAATGACACAGCTTTCTATCTGTTGCCTCTGATCTGGACTATATAACCTAACAGCTTTGTTAATGTGGAAGGTGTGCGTTTTTTATCTTGTCTTTATCTTACAGCCCTTGCTCAATCGGTTTCATTGTCCGTTTGGCATACGTATTTTTTCTCGCTAGCTGTCCTTTCTACAGAGCCATCCGATCCCTGTGTGTTTCTTGGATGCCCCTCTCTCCTGGAAACGACCGTGGCCGAATGACAGCGAGAGATCAGCCGAGGCGCACTTCCGCTTCTGTCCCCGCCCCTTTCCACGAGACCACTCCCTCGAGGAGGCACACCTCGATATGTGATTGGACTAGGTGATCTGTTACCCCGCCTACATCTCTCATCATTTTACGGTCATGCACCAATAACACCTCCTTGTCATCCATAAGTACTGCCCACCGAGGTTACGAAGGAAGCCTCCTCCTCCCTACACGGTGCTGTCCTTTCACGATACAACCGGTAAGCAGGTCGTGAGAAAAATGAGAAGCTTCCACCCCCACATTACAAACCACCCACCCCCTGAATGGATGGAAAATCCTCAGGAAATGAGAATCCCTCGTTCAGACCCTTTTTTGAAATCTACTGCTTGTTTGTCGTTAAATTGGAAACGGAACAAGGAGGGGTGGGATCATTTCAGTATGCACTTGACTCGTCTTCACCTTAGATTCACTGCATCATGTATTTTCTTTGCTGTATCCTTTTTACTGTTCGTGCATTGCCACGACTACATGCAAAAGGAGGATGACATCTGTGTTATTGTAATGTGTGGCAGAAGATGCAGATAATAGATCATTTTCTTGCATTGGCAAAGAAGCCATCAGGCATTCAGTCCAGCTAAATGCAAAAATATTGGTTATTAATACACTGTTGTTGTGCAAACATAGGTGGGTGAGACCAGGTGTTCTGTACACAATAAGAGACAAAACAGTCCATGTTCTACGGTTTTCTATAAAGCCGATACGTTTTTCATACAAAATTTTCAAGTCTTTGAATTTGACACCAAAAGGGGTGTGAAAGAGAGTAAGCCTAGTTTATTTTGGTTCATTCATGCAACACTGTTATCTAACACAACTGGGGCACTTCTCTGCTTAAAATGAAAGAACACTTATTATTAAAACAACAAGATACAATCAAAAATCAGTACGTTTCAAAGTCAATTAGACCAGTTGATCATTAAAAATACCACTTTTCTTTACAATGAATTACTTTACAAAATTAATTTATTTAAATCCACACCAGACACTTGTTTTTGGCACAGTCTGTGCAGCATTGATTTAGCATTGAGAATATTAAATAATCTGAACATACCATCTGAAATTGTCTCCTTAAGATGTTATTGTCAATTAGGCTGTAAATATGTAAAAGAAAAAAAAAGATGGACATTAGTTTTTGTGACATAGTGAGTCATCTTCAAGGCATAAAGGTTTATGCCCTGAAGAAGGTCGTACCGAAACGCGTCGGTGTTTCCTTGTTTAATAAATGAAATCCTCTGAATGCCTCAGATCACCGGTTCTTCTTCCTCATATTCTAAATTTATTTGATGCTGAAGAGCACCTGAGAGTGAGACATAAGTTTTTTCAAATATTCCCCATGGATGCACTCACTTCCACCTGTTTCTGATAATTTTATTCATGTTTTCATAGAACCGATTAAAAAAGATCAATAAAATAAAAAGTCCAATAACATTAAAAATAATGAAATGCATCACTGCACATGAAATGCATCACTGCACATGACTGAGGAATACTGAATGTGAAAGTGGCACTGTTCTTAATGCATGCATCAGAGGGTTAAGTTGCTTTGTGTGTGTGTGTGTGTGTGTGTGTGTGTGTGTGTGTGTGTGTGTGTGTGTGTGTGTGTGTGTGTGTGTGTGTGTGTGTGTGTGTATTTTCTCACAGAAGAAGAACCCAACACCAGCAGACTCAGTGCTCCAATCCAACAGCCTGAAGAGACACCATAATAACATCCAGACACCATCATCAGCTTCAACAAATGTCTGTGAACACATATGAGCTGCTGGCCCCATGGATCCTGCTGACTGGCCACAGCAGTTGAACAAAATGGAAAGTAGAACTTTCTTTATGATGACACTGATATTTGGACACATGGGCAGTCTCGCCTTGGGCACCAAATTACCTAGAGCCGGCCCTGCCTGTTGGCTTCTTCAGAACGTGATCTCCAGCTTTTACTAGAGTGGTTCTCAGCCAAGTGTGAAGCAGCTGGGATGACAACCAGCTCCATGGTCTTGAATCCGAAAAGGGTAGAAAGCCTTCTCCGGGTCAGGGATGAGATCCTGCCTCAAGTGAAGGAGTTAAAGTATCTCACGGCCTTGTTTGCGAGTGAGAGAAAGGCGGATTGGTGTTGCGTCTACAGTGTGATGCGGGAGTTGTACCGGTCTATCTTGGTGAAGAGAGATCTGAGCTCAAAGGCGAAGCTCTTGATTTACCGCTCGATCTACATTCCTACCCTTATCTATGGTCATGAGTTTTGGGTAGTGACTGAAAGAATGAGAATGCGGATACAAGCGGCCAAAATTTGTTTTTTCTGCAGGGTGTCTGGGCTCTCCCTCAGAGATAGGGTGAGAAGCTTGGTCATCCGGAATGGGCTTGGAGTAGAGCCGCTGCTCCTCTACATCAAGAGGAGGTGGCTCCTGGGTGCGTCCTTAGTGAGGTTTTCTAGGCCAACCAGAAGGAGACCTAAAGGAAGACCCAGGACACACTGGTGGGACTGTTTTTCGACTGGCTAGGGAACGCTTTGAGTTTCCTCTGGAGGAGCTGACCCAAGTGGCTGGGGAGACAGACGCCGGGGCCTCTCTGTTTCGACCGCTGCCCGTATGACCTGACTCTGGATAAGCGGAGGAAAATGGATGAATGCTTTAATCAACTCCATACAACCAAATTTGAATCCGGACATGTTTTGTTAAGAATTGAACATTATTAGTTTAAGTGCTTTAAGATGACTTTTGCATTGTGAATAACTAATGCATTTTGACCCAAACTTGCACCTCCTGAGTATGCCACAAAAAATCTATACTCACAAGTTTTCATGAGTATTTTCAGACAAAACATATATTCAGTCTAGAACCAGAATCAGCATCATGTTAAATATACGTTTACAGAACACTGAGTGTTACTTTCTTCTCTATATTTTTATTTGTAACCTAAAAACAGAAAATGGAACGACCCAGTAGGTCTGTTGCAGATACCTGCTGACATTTCTTATGATTGTTGGGTTGCCTATAAATCGATTTAAGGTGATTAAACATAATTCTATTTTCTGAATTCCAAGTCAGTTTATGCTTTCAGTAACTATCACGAGCCTGCAGTCTATTGGTGTTTTAAATGATCAGCCAACTAATTATAATATGCAAGAATGACAAAATTTACCAGAGAAGAGTGTTGATCTCTTGCAAAACATGAGACGTCTGTATCTGCATTAATGTAAGCGTGCAGCCCACCCACACCACTCCACATGCCTCCTTATCTGCCTCCCTGTCCTGGTTCCTCTGTGTCCTTCTCTCCTGTGTGGTTATTATCACACAGAGGTCATCAAACAGATCTGACTCTGTCAGTCTTACTGGCTCTCATCTGGCAGCATTACATACAGCTGTAAATAGATATCTAATAAATCTGTCACTTCCAGTCCAGCTGAGAGGGAGTGATAAATTAGAGAATCTGTGGTGTTCTGGATTATTAGGTACACCTAGTAAAGATGAGCAACTGATGTGGGAGCAGATTAAAGTAATCAGATTTAAAAAAAAATATGCCTAATAATGGTACTCCTTTGATTGCAAACTATTGATGGTGAAGCATTTTTGCACAATAAATTAAGGTGACTAGCCCAGGTCATTTCATGTGAAAAAGACATTAAATTGCTAAAATGTTGAGATTCCTCAACAAATTAGAGTATTTGGGTTCTTCAGTGAGATGTGGATAAATGTGTTTGCTGTGGCAGAACTTGACTACTCCGCACAAAGTCCAAACCTAAACCCAACAGGACACATTTGGGACGAATTAGCCAGACTTGACATGGTTTGGGGGACAAGTTTAACCCAAGACATGCAGAATTCACCACTCACGAGACAATTAGAAAAAATGTAAGAATTGTATTAAAAATCAGGAACTGAGGGCACACTGGATAAGGTCCAGTGGGGATTGCAACGGAACCGCAGTGTCTGAGGGGGGGGGGAGTAGAGGAACAGGTGAGTCCAGGGAGGTAAGTCTAAACTGGAAGGTGCAGAGTGAAGACTTACGGGAAGCTGGGGGCTGAGGAATGATGGGGGGGGGGGGGGGGGGGTTGCGCAAGAGGGGGCATCAAGGAGAGGGGGCGCAAGGAGAGCAGGAGAGCGGGCCGGCAAGGAGGAGAGGAGAACGGTGAATGCTGCGTCCAGGAGATTCATGGGGTACAGGTGAGTAATCCAGCGGGATCGTGGAAATGTCCCAGTAGTCAATCAGAGGAGCCACAGGAAAACAGAGAAGCTCCAGAAGCTTCAGAAGTCCAAGGAGATCCTGAGGAGTCAAGGTAAGGCCCACAAACGATCCAAAAATCCTGGGAACAGGTAAGCACAAGTATATCCACAAGGGTTCTAAAATCCCCCCCAAAAATCACCAGAGTTAACCTGGAGACACAAAGGGCTGGAACTACCAAGTTGTAGTTAATCATCCGGCGTCAAGATGTGTTCTCCTCCTCTTATAGCTGGACCCGCTGATTGTTAATGAGCTGCAGCTGGAGCCTCCCTCTCCTGAAACACAGCAGCTCAAAGATGGAACAAAAATGAGAGGAGCACTCACCCCGGCACATGACAAGATTTTGTCAGTGCCGGAACTCACAAACGAGGGAATGATCCAGACGTCTTAAAAGCAAACTCCTGAACCTTGTGGAAAGCTTTACCAGAAGAGCAGAATATGTTATAGCTGTAAAGGGTGGACCAACTCAGCAATAAACTAGAAAAGTAAAGATGGGATATCAATACAATCACATGAGTGTGTGTGTAAAGGCAGATGTCACAATAGTTTGGCAGTGAAGTGTTAAAGTACTACGTGTATTTTAAATTAAATGAGTAACAAAATAATCTCAAAAAGCTGCATTTTGCAGAAAAATAACAATAATTGTGAAGGATTATTTGCAGCAATGCATCTTTCTCAAAAACAATGCTAACTGTGTTCAGCAGGGTAGGAATACTTCCTAAATTACTGATTAGTTCTCTTAAAATATATTTAATTAAGCTTATTTATTTCTTGTTTATTTGAG